AAATACATTAAAAATATTAACAAATAAACTACAAAAATCATTTGATAAAGTGAAAATTAAAATATAGCTGTATCTGCAACTGTATTTGATAATGTTTTGAACTTTTAAAATATTGTATGGTAAAAACACAAGCTGCTCTTCATATTAATGACAAACTTTGGCATTTTTTGACGAGTTACTTTCATTTTTGCCTTGTGGCGCACTACCGCAACTTGTGGTGAGAAATTATTGCACCTTATTCAAAATCAATGCTGTCCCACGGCCCTCTGCGGCCCAAAGTTAAAAACTGTTGTTCTTTTGAGGTCCTCAAGGTGGCGCTCACGGCCCACAATTGGGCCGCGGTCCATAGGTTAAGAATCTCTGAACTAAAGTGTCTGCAGTGAGCTGATCTCTAGCGTCTGCTACTAAGCAGAAGTTCTGATCCTGCTGAGGCTGTGTGAAAGTACATCACAACTGTTCCATTAAAAATGCTGTGGGAAGACTAGTCCGGAGAATTGGGACACACTCGAACCCATCAGTGGGAACATGCATTTGAAGTACACAAGGGTGGGAGTGCGAGTATTGGGACCCACGAGAGAACGTGTCTCGTCCAAACAGCAAATGGACACATACCTACACCAACTGTTTCAAACAGTGATGTTTGCTTTATGACTAATTTACGAAGTCGTTTTCCTCTGTCAGTAATAGAAACACTAGATAATTCTCCTCTAACTCTTCCGTCTTCAAACAAAAATAAAAGTCCACTCTGACAACCTCATTTTGATGATTCTGATTGTGCGATTCAAGTCCTGTTGGAACACAGCAAATGTGGAAAAAGGAGCTACTTGGTGTTGGCCTGTTGCATAAAATGCTGGTAAAATACTTTAAAGCAGATATTCTTAACCTATGGGCCAGTACCACCTTGAGGGCCTCAAAAGAATATGAATTATTAACTTTGGGCCACAGAGGGTCGTGGGACCGCATTGATTTTTAATAAGGTGCAATACACTTTCTCACCACTAGTAGCAGTAGTGCACCAATCAGATGTTTAACAACTTTTTAATATGTAGAAGAAGAACCTTAGAAACCTGCTGAGAATGGAAACTTATTTTAAATGAAAAGTAGAAGCAAAAATGAAGGTAAGCCATCAAAAAACACTAAAGTTTGTCACTAATATACAGCTTCTGTTTTTACCATGCAGTATTTCAAAAGTTCAAAACAACTATAAGTGTATTTAATTAGTTATGTTAGTTATGATAGTTTAGTTATGATGTAAATACATTAAAAATTAAACCAAGCTTTATAATAATTATCATTTTTATCCATACATTGGTAATGTCTGACTGGACCTCGTGTCACTTTATGTTCAACAAACTGGGCCCCGAGGTCAAAAAGGTTAAGAACCACTGCTTTGAAGCTTTGAAGTGATGTGAGAAAAAAATGTAAAAGTTAAATGGATACTTTAAAAAAAGTACTGTATAATTCTAATATTAGTTTTCTAAGATAAAAATAATAATTTCACTCCTGAACAGGCTGCTACACGCCCCAAGTACCCTGCCACCACGCTGGCCCTGCAGCACTTTGATGACAGGTACGGCTCTGAGCTGGGACCGCTGTGGCCATCGGTCCGAGTCGCCCTGCTGTCAGAGAAGAAGTACGGAGCCCTGCTCAATATTTTCTGTAGTGATGCCAGCCTGGAAGAACTCCAAGCCCAGGGATGCAGAGACTTCATCCAAGATAAGGAGGGTATGTGTGCCTTGAACCCAGTCATGGTAGTTGTTTACTGCTGGGTAGAGCTTTCTGTTCAGGTCTGGAAACCTGCATTTCCAAAGATTTGGATTGTGTATGCTCTAGTACAGTATATATATACACTCACCGGCCACTTTATTAGGTACACCACTCTAGTAACGGGTTG